GCATGGGATGGGGGCGAGGAGCTCGGCCTGCGTCAGGATCAGCACCTCGGACAGGGATGTGGACGCGGGCGGGGTCTTTCTCCTTGACTGCGCTCAGACATGGAGTTCCTCGAGGTCCTCACCGAGCACCTGGACCGGGTAATGCTGGTCCGGGGTGGCGGTCGCGAGGTCATCACCATCTACTCCTGAGAGCCAGGACCTGCCACCCGGGCCGAGGGCGCCCGGCCCGCGGCCCCGGAGCCCTCGCCAAGCCCCCCGCCGCTGTCACCGTTTACATCGACCCTGTGCCCGCGCCCGTCCCTGTCCCCGCTGCCTGAAGCCCGAGGCCACGCCAGTCGGACTGACCCGGGGGAGATGGCCCCCCGGCGGCTGCGCTGCCCTTGTTCTGAGCCCGACCTCGCCCCGCGGAGGAGACGCTGCAATAAGGGCGGAGGAGGCGCGGGGACAGAGGCCCGGCCGCCCCCGGTGCCGGCCGAGTGCGCGGGGGCCCTTCCTGGGTGGCCCGCGCTCGTCGCCGTCCCTTCCAGCGGAGCCGTGGGGGGCTGGCGGGGCCTATACATAGTGTACAGGAGACATCGCGTGTATTTTTAACGTCCCCATATTTATGTGACTAGAAGCGCAACGGACTTCTCGCCACCGTGGAGTGCGCCCGCTGGGGCCGAGGCCTTGGGGAGCTGGACGCGGGAGTTTGAGAGCGAAAGTGCTGGAGGCCCAGACGGGGGTCGTGGTCCTGGTCCCGCGATACCCCCGCGCCGCTCTCACCACCTCACCCTTTCCGCGCCCTTGGCTTCCGACCCTTCCTTCCAGGTCTTTGTGGAGGTGGGGGGCGAAGAGTCCCCCTCTTCCTGGACTCCCTGTCCAGCGGACACGTAGCCTCTCTGACTCCGCCCGCTGCCCGGGGTGCAGAGGGACGTCCTCGGAGGAGATGCCAGAAAGCCCCGCCCGGTGCCTTCGCTGGGGGAGCAGGTGCCTGTCCTGTCGGTTGGTCAGCCTGTCGCCTGCTCCCCCATCCCGTGGCTCCTCGCCAAAGACTGCAATCAGGGAGCTGGAGGATGCCCCCTCCCAGTCCTTCTAGGTCAGGTGAAGGAGGGGGTGATCTTGGCTTAGGAGCCCAACCGACCGGGAAGCCCCATTGCTGACCCTTCTATCCCGTGCGTCCTGCAGCTCTGGCCTTCGCTGCCCCAGGGCGCCAGGCTTTGCTGCCGCCAGCGGCGTCTCACGGGCCTTAGTCGGCCAGCAGGTGTTCTCAGCACCTCCCTGCTTTCTTCCAACCAGGACCCATGGGCTAAGTAAGCGTCCTTAACTCCAGTCCTGGGCACCTTGCTCTACCAGCCCAGCCAGAGGCGCCCTCTGTCCCCAGGGAAGGTGCACTGGCCAGGCTCTGGTTCCCCGGGGTGGGTCCATTACGGGAGCAGGCACTGCATGCTGTCCCAGCACCTTCAGGACGAGGGACAGCATCTCCAGCCCCAGGACCCTGGCCTGCACACCTAGTTAGACGCCTGCCCACGCCCCAGAGCTGGGGCCCCGGGCCTCCTGACCTCACCACCTCCTCTCTGAGCCCAAGGCAGAGCTGATGCCATCCAGACCGGGTCCAGAGGCCTGCTAGCCTGGGAGTTAGGTGAGAGGATCCTGAGATTTGATTGGGAGACTGGTTGGATTTTTCCAGACATTTATCAGAACAGTGTCTGAACACTGGCCTCCTCTTGGGAACCACAGCTCTTCCTGGGAGGTGGAAATGTGTGTATGCGTGTGGAGTGGGGTAGACAGGGGACCAAGGGGCTGTACTAACACCAATTAGGGAACCAAAGTTGCACTATTTGGACCCAGACTGTCTGGTTGGCAAAAGCAAAGTTTCCATTGACGAAACAAACATACCACAACACAAACCCAAGTTTCTGTGCTCCATGTGCAATATTTGTTATGAATGTTATCACAAGTCATTCATCAGATGATCTTTATACACACTGTAGCTAGGTGTCTCATGTCCATTCAAGTGACTTTTATCGAGTGCAATATTTCACTAGCCTTGTAGTGACCTAGTGTTGCTTTTGTTTTAGACGATCTATGTGCAGGGCAATGCAATGAAGTTGAAAACCTTGTAAATAGGAGAGACTGCAAACCAAATCAAGAGTATTTATTCCAATTATGACTATTCTTAGGCCTGCTTTTCCTTTCCGGTGTTTCAGTATTCCGCATTCGGCCTCAGTATTGATCTTGTGTTCTTTGTGCCAATACAAAAGGAGAGGGGTGCTGCTTTCCTTTACTGTTGAATGCTCCCATTTAAACGCTTTACAGCTTTTACTGTATTAATTTTTTAGATTCCCGTCTGCACAAAATGCAATAAAAAGAATTTTATTATACCCTTCATGGCCTGAGGTATGCTGTGTGGACAACGGATGAGGTGTCATTCAAGGGGGCCTTCATGGACCAGACTCTTACGCAGATGCCCTGACCACTGACAGATGGATGTGAACCCTATCCTGGACGCAGCAGGGGCCGGGGGAGAGCACAGAACCATAATTATCTGCATGTAGTTAAATTGCTCTCAAGAGAGTCTATTCAATTCTCTAGCGGCAGAGGCTCTGTGCCGGTCACTTTGCCATTCTTGTCACCCGTCTAATGATGGGACACTATGACATGCTTCCCAAGGCTCCTTCTAGCGTTGTGATCCTCTGGTTCTGCCAACTCCCTGGCAATGGGCAGAAGGGTGGGGAATGCAAATTAAGACAGAAATCAGATTCTGGGAGTAGCCCATCCCCATTCACCACCACCCACAAATGGCTTCTTCAGAGCTGTTTCCCCTTCCTGGAGTAAGAGGACAAGCTTGCTGATAACTGGACATACCAGAAACAGGGTGCTTAACCAGCACTGTAATTCACCAGCAAGCTTCTGCTCTGAGCGGTTATTAAAGTCTTTTAGGTGAGCTGCAGAAGGGAAATCAGGGCTAAAGATGTTTTGAGGCTTCACCACATGTTGAGGACAAGAGCTGCAGGCCACGGTCCTCAAGGCAGAATGAGGCTCCATCGGGGCACCCCACTTCCGACCCTGTGAAAATCCCTCAGGATCTCCATGCCCCCCAAAAAAGATGAACACAGTGTTTACTTTTCCACTTTAATTAAAAAGTAATAATTTCATTTTATTAACATAAAGATGTGGGAGTAAACCACTATATAACACAAATAGGTCAGAACAGAAAATGCGGTCATCTGGGGACCTTATCTCAAACCACTGTTTGCTCAGCCATTGGCAGACTCAGCTGGAGTCACCGTTTCTCCAGCCCGTGCCCGGTGTCCCTTGGTGACTTATCCACAGGCTTCACCGAGCAGCACCCGCGGGAGAGGGCAGCTCGTCTGGCTCCATTTTCGAGCAGCAGCAGAGGCCCTTTCTCTTACAATCCATCCTGGCTCAACACGCATCAACAGCTGCCTACCTCCACAATAAACCCAGCCACCAAACATTCAAGAGCAAAATGGTTCTTGTCCCCGCTGCTCAGAGAGCAAAGAATCTAGACGGAAACAAGAGACTTAAAAAAAAAAAAAAAAAAAGCAGCCAAATAGCTTGAAACAATCAAATGGGGGAAGGAGGGTGTTCATGGTCAGAGTCATCTTCTCAGAACAGACTCCAGGAATGGACTACCCCTGAGGGTAGATGCTGAGATGTCAGGACAGGGGTAAGGAGTGAGTGGGGCTGAGTCAATCTTGTGTTAAATTTCTGGTAACTAGAGCTGTTTAGTTCACTGGAGATCCTCCAAAGAAACGCAAATAAGGAAAAAACCAAAACAAGCCACCTGAGTCCAGGCAGAAGTTTCTGCTGAGAGGATGTGGCTCCACAGCAGCTGATCCATGCGCATTCAGGTGGCCAACCTTAGCCCCGGTCACGACTTGTGGGGTGGGCGCGTCTAGCCTGCAGCCTGGCCGGATTGCAGGCAGGATCTAAGCTCTGGCTGGTGTGAGCTCGGCGGGGGTATCTTGGTAGGCTCAAGATGAACAACAGCTCGTGGCTACCGATGTGATAAATGTAATTCCACACGCAGCCAGTCGGGACCTGGTTTCTTCTTCCTTTCTTCATCCAAACCCAGATGACAGAAGGACCAGAGAAACCCACTAAACAGAAACTGGGCCCAGACACCCAACTACCCCAGAGATACTTATTCTTTTAAAAACAAACCACCCAACAAATGCAGACTCTGAAAGGAATAAGCAACATAGCTGTGGGCAGAGGAGAGAGCAGGTGGTAGAAACTTATGACGTTTGATGTGGACCTAGATAGGCGCAAAGAACATTTTTCAAACAACTCTATATAGAACAAAATAAGTGGGAGGCCAGGGGAGGAGGCAATGGGTGTATTTGAGAGATTTAGCCTCAGTAATGCCTCTGGTAGGATCCCAAGGGGGCCTGGGGTCGCCCCACCTGTGCTGTGGTTTGGCTAACCAGATGGGAGAGAGCAGGACCACTCTGGATCAGGGTGTCCAGAGCCTTCTGTACACTTGGATTGTCAAAGTTGATGCCTGTGGAAGACACGGGCCTCTGGCTAGTCATGTTGCTGGCAGGTGCCAGGCGACTGGAAGGCTGGCCAAAGAGCCCCTGGGAAGGAGCCCCAGGCCTGGGGCCCATGTTCCGGGCAGATCCTGCCTGTCCCAAAATGTTTGGAGGCTGACTGCCAGAGGCCTGTGATCTTTGCTGAGGCTGGCTGTTCACTGCTGTGGAAAAATTCTGGTTCTGAGAGCCCACAGCAGCGACTGAGGGGGACGCAGAGCTGCTATTGGCGGCCACAGTGCCACTATTGAAGAGGCTGAGGATTTTGGCCTGAAGCTCTTGCTGGGAGGTGGATGCTGCAGCAGAGGTGGGGGTAGCAGAGGGGAGCGCTTGACCACTCTGGAGCGATTGGGAGCTCGACTGCGTTTTCAGTGAGGCACCCGAGGACGCCCCAAGTGGTTGGCGGGAAATCGTGCCTAGAAGACAGAAGGAGGAGGCAGACCGTTCAAAGTACCCTCAAGGGCAGGAGGCTGAGGAGCCTCCGAGGGCAGAACAATAATCACTGAATCACGTCAATCACACAGTACGCAGACAGTAACATCAATTTCCCAAAGGGGATATGTTCATAGCATGTGCTGTTTTCAGAAAACAGACTAGTTTGCTCAAAGAACAGCTTAAAAAAAAATAGAGTGAGGACGAGGGGGCTGCAATATATCTTGGCTACCAGGAGACCGGCAATGCCAGTCTGACCCACCACCACATTATCTACAGGGGTCAGAATTCAGTACCCAAATCAAAATTATCATTGAACTAGCAAGGACGGCCCAAGGGAGAGCCCAAGAGACAGGCTCATTTGCCTTGCCCACCCAGAGAGACCTAGGCCTGCCACCCTCCCAAGAGCCTGGGGATTAGAGAAATGCAGAGTCAGAACTTCACCTCGGCCCTGCCACGTAGCTCACCAGGCAGAGAGTTGGTGCTGCTCCTCATCAGCCGCTCCTTCCGCTCCCGCAGGTAGTTGATGATCTTGTCGGTCTCTTCGGCAGTGAGGTACCTGTTGTCTGCCAGCAGGTTGATGAGGCTCTGAATGGCTGGAGGGTGCCCACCTCGCACGCCCTCCTCAGGGCCTCCTCGCTCCCTTTCCTGCATCACGGCCTCATCAGCCATCTTGGCAGCCTGTCTGGCAACCTCTTCCCGCTCCTTCTCCCGGCACTCATTCTTGTAACGTTCGTAATTCCTGGCCACCAGCACCATGGCATCTGCCTGGGGCATGTTGCGATGCTCTGTGGGAGGAAATGACATGAATTATATTGCCCTGTGACGGAGCTGAGTACCCACCTGTTAAGGCTTTACCAAGCTTTTCCTAACCTCACAGCAACAAGAAAACTATTTCAGTAACAAGAAGCCTTGGAACTGATCAGGAAGAAGGGGCAAAAGGAGATGATGGCTGGTAATAAAAGTCAATGGATCTCTTTGGCAGGGAATGCATACCTTTGTATGGAGCTGGTTCTTTTGGGGGAGTTCCTAGATCACAGACTTGTAGTAAAAACCAAAGAAACATGACAGCCTCCCACAGATTCAAACAGACCATGCAGAGAATAACCACGGGAGGCAGGCCTCACAGCCTGGAGACCAGCAGCAGGCGGCCAGAAAGCCCCTCTATGGGGCCTGGCTCTCCACTGTGCTCAAAACACAGTTGGTTACTGTTTCAGAATTTCTCAGTTCCAACTTCACTGACCATCAAAGCCATGAATTAAGATCAAAGTGTGACGCTGAATAACAACCTTCTGTCACATCTGGTCTTGCATGGTTTCCACGTCGTTGAGATGACCTCTCAAAAACTTTATATACATTTCCTTATCAATCTTGAGAACGATTCCTTGAGACAACTGTCTCAATGGTGTGCCATATACTTTATGGATCTAGAGGAGCAAGTGGTCTGACAGATTCAGAGTGGTGTGAGGCAAGTGAAGTCTGTCTGCGGCACAGCATGCACTAAGAGCACTGGGCATCAACTGGCGGAGTCTCTAATATCGCATTCCAGAGACTCCAACTACTTCCCGATCCAGGAAGAACTTTAAGGAACCTAAACCTATCTTGAGCCAAGGGATAGGGATTTCAGGGCCTCTTCCCTGTTCTCATCGCCCTCCCTGCTCACTTCTCCTGAGCCTTTGCAAATAGTACCTCAAGAGCCTGTTCTTCCTCTCTGTCTTAATTAATAACTAGTTGTTACACATATATTGGAAGCACTGAAGAATACCAGATGACAAAACGACTCCATGTGTCATTTAGCCTACTTATAGAGAGGTCCTACTGCATCTGAACTTATAGAAAGAATTTTCTTTAATCTGGCTTCTTATAAGTAACACACGGAAGAGCTGATAAACTCATTACTACTCTAGAATTCCGATCCACTGAGAATCTATACCTTGTGGGGTTCCAAACATGATGTTGACTGTGCAAGAGCGGTGAATCTGGTGTTGCTGGGTAATGACAATAGCAAAAGGAGAGCCTCCTCTGCTAACGTCCTCCAAGGCTTGTGACAGGGACACCTCTGTGTTGAGGAAGATCAGATCCACTACCATGCCTAGGTCACGCACCTTCCGCCCCACAGACTCGGCATAATCCCTGTGGAAACAAACAGGATCCAGGTGAACACTGTGTTTTGGAACCAACTCCAAATTTCTTGATAGGTTCTCCTCATGCAGCTCTCTGCTCACTGTTATTGGTACGTGCCACTGAATGGACAGTGACTCACAGGGACATTATGAACCCTGCACCTTCATCAGGATCTCAGACATGTTTAAGTGCATTACAGTCACTGTGTTAAATCCATCCTGTTGAGGGTCTTCTTCTCTTTCTCCGACTTTTTACATTTCACAGCGTTTTATGAGGAAGCCCTGATACTAGAGAAGTGTAAACCCTCTTCAGGCTCTAAAGATTTACGCCAATTCCTGCTTCTTCCAGTGGCTCAGGAGTGTTGTCTCAGGACATGGCTGTCCTTGAAGACTGTGTAACATGACAGACAAGCATAGACTTTAGCGGTAGAAAGAGGGCCTTGAATTCAAGCATCGCCATTTAATATACAAAGCTTGGAAGCTTTAAGTAAGACTCACTTCTTACAAACCTCAGATTCTTTACCATAAAACAGAAAAAATACAGTTCAGATCATGTATCACTTTCTTGGCTTTCTCTTAAGCTAAACGAAAGTACAATTAATTCTTAATATTCCTCATAATGCTATATTCTATAAAGTAACTGTGTACATGGAATTAATAAATGTTCAAACACTGCTCCTGAAGGAAAGGGATTTTATTCCTTTTAACTTTAGATAACAGTATTTTCATTAATTTACTTACATGTGTAAAGACTCCACATGATCATCTTTCTATGCATGTGCACATGACACACACACACACTCTCTCTCTCCGCATTTCAGTATTATGGTTGGGGGACACCTTAAGCAGTGAAATCACCACCAGAAACACAAAAAGTCTGGCACTGAATAGACTGCATGAAGGATTCTTGTCAACACACAGCCCAGGAGCTGGATAAGACAGAGCCTCTATTTGTTTGAACTCCTTGGGAAGGTGCATGCCAAGCAACTTAAAATTTCTCACCACTCTGCACATGACTGATGACAGAAGTGCTCCAATATTGCTTCTGGGGTTACAAACACATTTTAGCAAGTAGGTGAATTCACAAATAGAGAATCTGTGACTAATAAGGATTGTGTGTATTCTCTTTGCATGCAGGACTCATTTTTGTCATCTGTTCAATGAGGGTAGAAGCTCCTCAGGAAGGGGCTGTGTATATGCTCACCTTACAACCCCACTTCCTAGCATCCACTATATAGTTAGTCTTAAAGAAACTATCTACAGCTAAAGAAGCATTTATCTTTGAACAAGGCCAACACAAAGCCTGTGAAGTCTGCCTGCTGTTTGGCGTCAACACCTACTTCCCTAGTCACTGCCTTGAAATTAGCTCTTTAACCCCAAACTGCTAGAAAATATATGAAGGTACTGGCTAACCACTTGGGAAAGAACACAAAGCTAGTGCCAAGCCTGTACACTGCTAATGGCCCCTCTGCTCTGCTCTGCCTCTTGGAGAAGATCAAACAGGGGGAGTGAAACAGTGCTGTGAACTCTGGCTTGACTAACATGGTCCCCTAACAGTTCTACAAGGCCATGACACTTCACAAGGAATGCCTGGTTCTTGACTAATATAGAGACATGCATCTCTCCAAGTACTGGAGATCTGGGCTCATCCCACAAAGGCTTCTACTACTGTGCATAAGCAACATCTATTTCTTTTCATTTTATTTTATAGATGGAAAAGCACCCCTCTCCTAACTCAGTCCACACAATTCTACAGGACTGATCCTACTCCCGAACTTTAGGAATGAGCATGTGACCTAGGCTTGGACAACCAGGGCATCTGTAATATTCCAGGCCAAAGTGGTGACAGGGGGAGAACTGTAAAGCGAGCCAGGTCAGTTCAACGAGGAGCAATTCCAGGATTTTTGATGGAATCACAGGGAGAGAAAGTACTCCTCTGTCGGGCTAAGTGCTAGACTTTTAAGACAGACTATCTGGAAGCCAGCGCCATTCTGCCTTTTTAAGCAGAAGGCCTGTTTAGAAAAAGGAAGGCAATGTGGAGAAAAGCAGCACTGAGACTAGTACAAAATCACATTTCGAAGACACAGTTTAACCTTGAATTTGGCCTAGACCTCTGTCACACAAAAGTAAAATGTCCCCTTTTGGCATAGGCCAACTTGAATTGGGTTTCCCGTCACCCAAAGCTGAGAATTCTGGCTAACGCAGCACAGCAGTGCCAGAGCACAGAAGTTGTTCAGAGGGTCAAGGTGCCAAGAGGGATCCTGAATTTCAGTTCTGATCATGTTTTCTCCTGGGAAAAAAAAATCAAAAGGGCTCTTACTTAGTCTGCTTGTTGACCACAATCACAGAACAATCAACAGGCCTCTCGGCATCAAAGCGTCTCTGGATTTCATCAAAATATTGGCGATAAAGCTCTTCTCTGCGCCGTTCCTCACGTTTTAAACGCTCTGCAAGATACCACCAGGGAAAACAAATAAAGATGACACACTTTCTACAAAAAAACAAGCCGCAGCCTTATTCAGAATCCCAATTAACTTGTAGCAAGGGTAATAATACATAAATTCTCCCTCTGAATAAATCTTCTAGCTAGTGTAGCTCCTAAAAAAATATCCAGCATTTTTTACTAGCATAAACTGCTCAAGATGGTTCGATTAAAGGGCACGGTTTGTTTTTAAACAGGGGTGCTCTGGTGGCAGAGTCTGTAGGGAGTTGCTCTATGCCTCTCTGGCAGTTTGAACACAACGGTGGCTCTGCTGGAGAAAGACAGTGCTGTCTCCTCTCATGTAATTCACGGCCACATCAATCTCAATGGAGTTGGTTCTGAGTTGACAGCAAGGAGTCTGTTTGGCATTTGTCTTTGTAATGCTTCTGGTATACAGACTGAAGTCCCTCTTGGAAAGCTGGACGAGTTTAATTTACACCTTCAGAGGTAGATCTAGTGTCTATTTCTCTAACCTTAAATTAACAGTGAATATAAAGATTATTTTAAATTTCTGCCAATGTAAAAGGTAAAAAAAGCTATTTTCATTATGATTCTATTTTGGGTTTTTTTGGGGGGGACAGTTATTTAACACTTTTATTCCCAAGTGATTATAGTCTGTTGGGAAAAAAAAAATATTAAAAAATAAAATCAAGTAGCAAAGTTGTACAATAAAGTTCTGAAATTATTTGACTAGGTATGAAATAATTGAACAGCCAGTCAGCCTGAACCCTGAGCCATTCTGTGTCATCCTCACCTTCTCTGATATATTCAAGCTCCTTGCTGAAGACTATACAGATAATTAATGCAAATAGTTCTAGATAGTCAACGAGCAAAAAAGCAAAGTGAAGCCTTTTGTTCTTGTCATATTGCTGGAATTTGTTTATTTCTTTTTGTTGGATGACGCAACTACTAATTTGCATTTAAATATTATTTTCAAGCTGAACGTTCTCTACACATTTATGGGCTCTTTGTATTTCTTCATTTTTGTGAACTGCCTGGCTAAGTCATTAGCTCCCTGACAATGAGTAAGTTATTATGTCCCTGTGCTTTTTTTAAAAAAAATTTTTTGTGGGTATACTGTCAAATCGGATCTGACTGTACAGGAGGAGAATGTCCCTTCTTCTCCAGCAGAGCATCTGGTGGATTCGAACTGCTCACCTCTGGGATTCCAGTGCAGCTTCTTGCCACTAGGCCACCAGAGCTCGCTGTCCCTGTGATTTTGTAAAACTATTCTACCAAAAACAGGAATGGATCATTTCTGCTACTTTACCTTTTGAACGGGATTGACTTTCTGGGCCTGGAGGACCTCGTCCATCAAAGCTATCTCTGTAACGGTCAAAGTAAGAGTCCTCTTTCCTCCTGTAATAGTCATCTACACGTGTGTATCGATCATAAGATCCTTCTCTCCTGAAAAGTTAATAAAATTTGTACCAAGTTAGAACTTTGTCCCATGATGCAATCAGATATAGAGTTCTTCAACATCTAGTTCCCTCTGAGGAAGAAAGCTTAGTAAGGCTTTCTAAGAGTTTGGGATCAGACAAAATGGAGTTTTGTCTGGGATTCACTGCTGATCAGTTGTATCTGTGGCTGAGTTACCCTGCCTCATGAAGTGACTAGGGGGATAAGCAGGTATAGACTGGCCAAACAACAGCTCGGTCTCCAGCACACAGCAAATGCAAAATAACTGGTAGTTAGTATTGATAATTAGTCCTGAGAACCAATTCCACTACATCTGTTTGCTTTTGGACTGCCCGCATAGTCTGCACTCTATTTGCACAACTGCCTTTCACAGGTCACATACAGCAACCAAGCTAGATTCATGCTCCTAAATAAGCCTAACTCATTAGTTATAGACCTACCCAGCAATTATTCATTGAAAGGCAGAACTACTATTTGATAAATATTGGAAATAGGACAGCTAAGTTGCTGACCTTATAGAATCCTTTCTTTTTTCAAACTGTGATGAAAATAGACACATCAAAACATTTTCCATTTAAGTATTTTCCACGTGTACAATTCAGTGACATAACCACCATTTCTCACTATGCTATTCTAAAACAGTCTACTATCATGGCCATAAAGCCAATGCTCCCTAAGTGTTTCTCCCTCTCCCACTACTGCCTATGGTAATCACTAATAATGTTTGATTTCTATATATTTGCTTATTTCGTGTGAGATCACACATATTTGTCCTTTTAAATAGACTTATCTTGCTCAAGATGCTGTTCCTAAATTTTATCTGCATAGAACTTTTGATTAGTTTAGCAAAATACTCATTAAAAACAATAAATGGACAGGCAGGATGGCTGTGAAAGTACCTGTACACGGGGTCTCGAGAGTCTCTGGTGTCTCGGTATCTGTCGTACACAGGGTCCCGGTGATCTCGAAAATCTCTGGAGTCTCTCAGATCACGGAAATCTCTCAGATCTCTCATGTCTCGAGCATCACGCATACTTCTGCTGTCTCTGGGATCCCGCATATCTCTATCTCTGGGGTCTCGCATGTCTCTGTTATCTCTGTGGTCCCGCATATCTCTATGGTCCCGGGCATCCCGGCCATTTCTACCATCTCTGGGCTCTCTTCTTGGACTTCCTCGAATTGGGGACCGGTCATGTCTCGTATCTCTACTATCTCCAAAGCCATAAGGATCCCTGTGGGAGGGAGTAATTAAAAAGAGTAAGACAAAGACTGGAAGGGAGCCAAATCTTCTGGACAAAGGTCCTATCCACTAAGTGGTTTTTTTTTCCTCTCCAGAGCATGGCAATCAGTGAGAACATGACTAAAATTTTAAGGACAATTCTCTGGTCAGCAGATAAAAGCCAGCAGGTTTAAAAATTGCAAAAGATTAAGATGGACATCAAAGAAAGAACGCATGACCAAAGTCAAAGGGTTGTTTTGGGTTTTTTTTTAAGAGAACATCTTCATTTTAGAAATTTTGCTACTACCTAAGTACTTACACTTGTAACCAATTGCTAGGTTATATATATAGATGGTAAAAAAAATCATTAGGTAATCTTTTAACTCAATATGAAAAATACAAACATTTGAAGGTCCCAACTGAAACTTTCAAGCCTTTCCAAAGGGCAATCAAGGTTTCTCTTCACTCCTTAATCTAGGCCCTTTTGAGATGATGTATCAGCAAATAAAGAAACCCAGGTGATGAGCATCTCAAAAGAAAAAGCCAAAGGTGTGATTGAAGTACACGTCATCAGGCCCCAGTGGCTAATTCAGCATTCCTCATGCCTGACAACTATCACTGCAATCATGACAGCTTTTTTAAAAATACCTAGAATCTATCTTTTTTTCATCAGAATTGTTTGAAAGAAATTTAAAAATAAAGGAAATGTTAGGAGGCAAGATTCAAAAGAAGAAAGAGCAAATGGCACAATTTCATACAAAGGAACTTAAAAGAAAACTTCACTTCTAGGATACAGTAAAATAATCAAATTAAGGGAGAGCACACACAGTATGATACAAACTGAAAAATTAAGAATCTTTCAATTGCATAATTTATAGAAACCTAGCTTTTTTGGTCTAAGTTGTGGGGTGTGTGTGTGTTTAAGTCACATATTCTTGGACTGCTCTGGTTCAGTTTATTGTTCATAATGAGACAGCTTACTCCACTGGAAATTTATCCCCAACAGACCTAAAATTAAACTCCTTTCAATCATGCGGTCAAGATACAAATGTTTAAACTCTTTTTCTTATCTCTATTAAGTTCTAATAACAAAAGTCCCATTCTCTTTTTTTGTTCCATTCCCATTAGATTTATAAATCCAATCGTAAATTCTATTTTTTAAGCTGGCATCAACACAGTTTTTTAAAAAAAAGAAAAACAGATCTTCTATATTTTAATTCACTCAACATACAAATATTAGACTAACTATTCTAATACATCCACTTTCTACCCATTACCAACTCTGGCCACTCTAATAAGTCTGGTCCCCTCTCAAATATTACCTCTTTTTAATACACAGTTCCCACGGTCTGTTAGTCGACACTGTGTGTCACTACAGTACCAAGGAAGTTTCAGGAGAACTTCCACACTAGGAAGAAAGGTTTCACAATCTATTGCCTCAAACTTGTTATGTGCCGTCGAGTCGCTTGCGACTCATATAGCGACCTTATGTACAACAGCCCTAAACTCCGCTCTGTCCTGTGCCAATCGCACTGTCTCTGACACTCAAACTAGCCCATAAAAACCCTAGGGGTAAAAATGCACCTTCCCTAGGATCAGTTGCCGATTGGATCAAGTTCGGGCCACAGCCTGATGGCAGCTCAGAACATTTCCTGATATGACTCTCCCGCATTTCAACTTAAGCAGTTCTTATTTATCTCAATATGTCAGTTTATGTAAATTCTCTCCTGTATTAATCCATGTATCATCCAATTCACATGGGCAAGTTCATGGTCTTGTCTTCTAAGTAATCTTCCCCAGTAATCACGGGTCTCTCTTCCTGCTTAATTCTGAGGACTTCAGATCAGATTCAGCGACACTGACTACATTCTTAAAAGTTACGAACCTCTTTACCTCCATTTTCCTTACCGGTTCTCCGTCATTAACATAAGGTGTTCCCCAAGTTTCCTATCCTAACCTTCAAGTTACTGTCAATTTACTATCATAGAACTCTGTCTCTTAAAGATAGTTCTTTAAGAGTAGAAAGCTCAAGAAAGATATCTCTGCATTTACTTTTATGACAATGATTTGCCTTAACTTTAAAGATTTTCTCCTCCATATCCTGCCCAAACCTGCCCTGAAGTATTCATCATCCTCCAATACTCTCCTCCTCCTGTCCTCTCTGTCTCAAGAAACAGCATATCTACTTAACTGGTCACATCAGGAAATGGAGCTATCCTTCCCTTAAAGCCTTATCCATTCTTACAATGAGATTTCCAAATTCTGCTGATTCTCCAAAGTGGATTATTAACTGTTTACTTTTAATGCTGTTGAAATCACAAAGGCCAATCTCAAAGAATCCTTCAAACAAACAAAAGGGCTCTTAAAATGCTGTTTTAAATGCTGTCAAGTTGGATCTGACTCATCACTGACCTACCAGCAGGTTTTCAGAGGTGAGAAGTTAACATGTATCTTCCCATTTCTCTTCTTGCCTCTTCCTCTTATCTTTTCCTATAAAGATAAAACTCTTCTCTGGTTTTACATGATCTTTAGAAGAAATTAAATCTTTACCACAATGAATTAGTCTTTGCACATGATCCTGGTTGCTTTCCTGTCTTGTCCTATCTCATCTCATCCTTTCCATAGTCCTCTACTCTTTGCCATAATGGTCCTTAAGCTGCAACAAGAACAAATCCAAAAGAAGTATCCCATTGTTGAGTTGGAAGTGACTCATAACCAACTCACTATTGGGTTTCTGAGGTTATACATCACACAGGAGACTGCCAATCTGCTCCCCTGTAAACTGCTGGTATATTCCCAACTACCAGAGAAGCACAGCCTTTGGGTTAGGCAACACAACTCTATGGATGGACCAGGTTACCAGATCTCTTCAGTTCTAACTCGTCAGTTTCCTCCCAATTCTTCCAACTCAAGTGCAGGAGCATACACATATTCAGTTTCTAGGTCTCAGTGTTACGAATTCCTAACTCAAGACTATTCCCTGGATTCTGTTACTAAATCCATTATGCAGAACATCACTATAAGCCCATTATGTAGAACAATACTTTGCAAACAGCAGATGGTCTATAAATATGCAGAATATTTCTTCTATACACACTTCTATTATCACTTACTACACTTCTGTTAATTACATATATGGTTTCTCTACCAGCGAATTCTCTTTAAGGGTTTGGTTTATATCTCTAGGACATAGCATGGAATTTAGTAACTATTTAATGAAATTATTCAACTATACTGTAAATTTCTAAGGAGTAGACAAGGTGTTTTGTTTTCACTCCTTTCCTCAACTATGTTAAATACTAGCCATTCATTGTCATTAAGTTTGACAGAAAACTTTAACGTCATTTACCTCCAAGAGGCACAGCAAAAACAATTTAAATGTCATTTTGCAACTCTAAAGTCTCGAGAGCAAATATCTGGAAGACCAAAACATTCAAGTGACTGCACTTAGTCCTATTAAAATAAAATGCAGACTAAGCAGTCTGTCCTATTAGACCTTTTTCTGTATATTCTATAAGCTTTCTAACACATTACTATCTGCTATATGTGAGCAGACACTCGGACTCTAAAAGAAGGCTAGCCCCATAGTATTTCTGTATTACTTGAACATTAGCAGATAAATCTGCCTTGGGGAGCAATTAGAAGTATTCAAAGGTGGAATCAGATTTCATGTTCTTGGCAACCATGCTTCAGAAATCAAACAAAAAACCTTGGGCTGGTGGGAATGGAACAGGGAAGCAGGTAGCTCCACATCAGAGCACATTATTCATGGCTGCAGAGAAATTACAAATGCCATGTTTGGTGATCATTCTTTGGAACTCACTGAAAAAAAAAAAACCAACAAAAAAAACCAACCCCTTACTTACCTGTCAGAGGTCCATCCCCTGAGGCTGATCATGGCCCTAGACTCCCAAAGGCTGGCTTCATACTTTCATCTGAGACATGTAAACCCTCCCCCTTTTCTGAAAAAATGTAAAGTCCAAAAGCAACAAAATGACCTCTTTTTTCAATGGCTTTCTTGGTAAAGATGTAGATGTTTGTAAGATTTAAAAACAAAAACAAAACAAAAAACCAACAACCAAATGAGTGAATCAGAGAAATGAGTGATCAGAGAAATGAGTGATCAGAGAATTAGCTAAAACAAAAAGGCCAAGTTTTCACTTTCCTTAAAGATGAATATGAACACGATGGCAAATTGATTATTTGTCTGGAGATAAAACAAAACAAAACACCCTTTAGGGTCACTTTAAGCCCAACAAACTCCCCAGGAAAAAAAGGTTCCTGCTGTAGGCCCCAACATCTGTAGGTCTAAGGTCAAGCACACAATTAACAGAAGAGAAGTAGCACACTGTGCAGGCTGTGCGTGAAGGGCCACAAATAAAAAGCAGAAAAGGCTTGGTCTCAGATAACAAGTGGTTTAGGAACACGTTTCTGGATCCTAATGATCACTGTATTACAGCACCAATTACCTTTAGGTATCAGGTCCCATGAAGCTAAAAAGGAAGGAAACACAGCAGTCTCCAGGTTATGAATGAGCTGGGTATGAATAAGTCTGTCTTTAAGTTGGACTTTTAGGTGAGCAGGAACAAATAAGTGCATACAGCTTTTATTTCACCTTAATTCGAGGCAATAACAAATGGTGATCTTTTAATGATTTAAAAACTGGACTTGCAGCAAGTGAAGGTGACTGAAGACTTTTCTGTGAACAGGAGTTAGGAGTTGTTGATTTAAATGTTTCAAAGCGAGGGCAAATTTATACACATTAAAGGATAAATAAGATTTTTAAAGCTTCAAGTTTGTAAACCAGGACAACCAGTAGTAGTAAAACAAATTCCAACACTGAGGTCCATAAACAACTAAAATTCTGCTATAAATTCCTCAACTACTAGCAGGAGTGTATTCCGGGAAGGGAAAAAAAGGTAAATGTTCTCTGCCTTGAAAGAAATACAATCACATTATCTGGAAACATTTGGGAGGTAAGAAGTAATGGGGAAAAATGTAAAGGCAAAAACCATGCTAAGGTGTGCTGCTGGTAGAACAGCTTCTCTTCCTGGGGCTTAAGTTATGCAGAACAGTGGGTATTTGAGAAACAGTGGGTATTTGAGAAACTTCAAGGTAAAATGGATTAGGCAAACTTGATGGACTTTGACCTTCTCTTTGACCTCTGTTGTGTACCACTGAGTCAAAACCACTTAGACTGGATCCTCCAGCAGGTTTTCAGAGGCAGTCAATCACATGGGAGAAGACGGCTCCTCTTTCTCCAGAGCAGCAGCTAGTGGATTTGACCTATATGCCTCTGTGTTGGCAGTGCTATTCCTTACTCACTGGAGACTGAAATCCAGAAGGGTGTTCTTTGATTGTGGCTGTACAGATTGAGGAGAGAAGGGTTCTTTCCTTTTCTTTTTGTTGCTCAGAACATTTTTGTTGAAGGCAAGCCATTTTAGCCTCTTGGAGGAGGGAGGTTATGGAATGTCTATTAGCTCCTCAAACTTCTGTTCTGTCCACAATCTGAACAGTTGGCTGCTTTGTGATGATGATACCTGACTATGGTGGGGGCTCCATGCCACAGTCAGTAACAGAAGCAAGAAACTTGTACAGAATTTTGCCTCTAGAAGTAGGCAGGATTGGGTGATTATCTTCACAGATCCCGATTTTTAAAGTGTTCATGGCTTTTCCCTGGGAAGCATGCTTCTGATTTTCTCAAGCACAAATACAACTCTTCTGTTATGAGAGATGACCCTTGCTGAGAGCAGATGATTCTTCACGTGTTCGTGGAGAAGCAACCACAGGCTGGAATCTTTAATTGTTAAGGCCGACCTAGAGCTGGGGCTGTCTCACACCCGAGGAGCAGCAGTCACCAAAGTAATTAAGGCCTTGTGGCTTACAATTAGAAATCTTCTCAGTCTATATAGGAAATTTGCCAGCTTATTTCTGATAATCCAATTCCCAATGTCTTTCCAAAGCAGCAGCATGCCCACAATTCATGGGGAACACCCTTTGCACAGTTTTTGACACAGAGAAAATATGTTACCTGCTCTTCCTTAGATCATTAAGAAATGTATAGAAAATAAGTCTTACTATTTGGAGGTCCTATCTTTGTAGGAGTATGCTCCAAGACCTGGACTGCACAGGAGTCAAGCTCAAGATGGCAAGTGAGAACACCTACGGTAGAGCTAGAATTACAATCCAGTTTTTGAAGGACTAATGCAAAGCAGCAAATGATAGGGCAGTAACACAGTGTTTATGAATGCAGTCTGAATGAAGTGGCTCAGGGTTATATGAGGATTCTTGATGTTTAGCTGGGCCATACTGTCAGAATTGCACATTGACAGTGGGATCATTAGGGAGGCACATTACAGAACAGAGAGCAAAGCCAGAAAAAAAAAGGCTTACAGAAACATGTGAAAAGGTGGTCACTCTGAAAATTCACAAACATACGCAGATGTTTTGACACTCAAAGGTAAAGTCCAGCAAAGCAAGGTGTTACAAAAATACCACCATTATATTTAAGAACAACTTGCTTATTAAAAAGTAGACAGCACTGAAGGGATAAAGCTACAACTTAAAGGAAATTTATTTGCCATACTTAGTGTGTGCTTTTTTTCTGGTGAACAATGCTTCTCATAAGTTGGGCACATTAAATTATTAGGGCTGCCAAATGAAGGCCATCTGATTGGTGACAACATATTGGTACATCTGGATTTAGCTCAAGGCTTTGAATGGACAGATGTTCCCAGAATCAGAGTGATGATATCTAGTGTGCTCATCATCAGAGAAGGACCAGCCTCTTCCAGACTAATCACTTATGAACTACCTTTCCTACTTGTTGCCTTTTATTCCAGTGTTTTGGGCACATCTTAAAAGAGATGATGCATGATCAGAAAAATGATGAAAATGTTATTTTGAATAAAATGTTCCATATATATGGCTTTAGGGGCTAGAAAAAAACCCCTTGAAACCCTAGTTAGATTTTAGATGGGGCTCAGAATAAATTTTACGAAGTGTGAACACCTTTTTTCCTAAAGAAGTAGACGTTCACCCTGTTAACATGCTGAGGAATCCAGGTGGCAACTTACCACCAAAGGGAAAACAAATTCTAAATGTAATAGAACTAGTCTAACACTCCCTCCTGTAGACTCTAAGTAAATCAGGAAGCCATAGCTCTATCTTCAACCTCAAATTACCTACTTCATTCTAGAATGTGCATCTCAGGAAGACACCATTTAAAAAATGGCATACAATGAGGAGCTACATATTTGTATTTGTATTCTTCCCATCTACCTGGTTAAGTGGAATAGACAAATCTTCTCTAATGTTGTTTGTATATATTTATGGTCTTCTTATGAAAAATATGAAAAAGCTTTCTCTTACAAATGATACTGTGGATATTCATTTTAGGTTGGGATAAAAGGAATTTTTTATATAACTATCACTCCGGCAATGGCTATACTGGATCTAAAAGGGGAGAGTTGGGTTGTTTCCCCAACACTGCCAGTGTCTGTTGAACACCTATAATTGCTGACATGTTAAAAGCATTTGTATAAATATATATCACTAACTGGGTGATACCACATCTCTCTCATTCCTTTACACAAATGGGAAAGAACTATTTTGCTATGTGCCTAGTTTTATTTGCTTGCAGATATTATTCAGAGATCATAAGCATTTGGGGGCAGAAATGGAGGATCTTATTGGTGCAGCCTGAGTCTATACAGTTACATGCCATACTTCTGGTAATCCACCGAATTCAGAAACCTACAGAGTGTATTTATGAGCAACCTGGAAAATGGAAGAGCCTCTTAGCTTCTTTCATGCCATTTGGCTGTCAAGCTGCTAGGAGGAACCCCATACTTCTGACCATGGTCTCTTCGCCACCTGTACTCTATGTTTATGAGGCAGTAAGGAGCAACAGAGGTGGTCATTTCCAATATCTGCAGCATGGTTACATGATGTAGACACAGGAAATAGGCGAAGTTGCACAAGATTCATTTATGTTCTTAAGGACATGGACAGTGTCTCTCTCACACACTCTCACTCACAAACACGCGCACGCGCTCTCTCTCTCTCTGGTATATATCTACAAGTTGTAGGTATCCTTCTGGGTTAGACAAAATACTAATGTACTCTGCCTCCTCCTGCAGTGTAGCTCACTGGTGACCAGGATATCTACTTCACAGTTGTGGTATAGCAGCAGTTGTGGTGCTGAACCAACTCTGCACTGAAAGAGCAGGCAGAGGATGAAAATAAAATCAGCAGCATAACTTATCATTAGGATCTTTGCTGCAAAGGGGACATATGTTTAGACACTCCTGGTATCTAGAAATCCATCCTTCTTACCTAAGTAGGGGCACATAGACCACACATACAACAATCACTCTTTCTTTTAAACAGGCAATAATGTATAGGTGTATCTGGAAAAAAGTCAGACAGAGGTATGTAATATTTAAGTGCTCAGTTTGCTCGGTGACGCAGGGAGCTGGAATTTTCACTTAGGGTGTAAAGTGGATCCATACCAAGCATCCACTCAGGCACTGATAAATACACCAGACAGAAAACGTATCTGCTGCAGTCCATATAAAAACTGCACACACGGCATCCACTTTTTTCTGTCATGGGGCCAGTCTGGATGAATATACTCATCTTTGATGTAAAAGGGAACATTAAAAATAGGGCAAATTTAATGTTCACACCAGGATTTTTCTTTCAGTTTGTAGATTTTTAGGAGAAAGAATATATTAAGGAAATGCCCTCTTATTTCCAGGAAAGGGAGAATTTTAGGGTGAAGTGTTTTGCCTCCTCCTCCTTTAAATTTTTTCAAATTGATTTCCCTTCAAATCGGTAGCTCAAGTAGGCAAGCAAACAGGAATGTGCAGCACAGGCACAGCAGCAACCTCTCAAGCAGCATTTTCGGTAAACCTGGGGTACCATCTGGACCAGCAGCCATTTGGAGTGAAGAGTTGAATCTCTCCTGCCCGCTGCAGTGCAGAGTGACACACACTGACCACCCTGGGGCACTCCTCGTGATGTGGAGGCTCCCAGTGACACGTGAGCTGGGGACAAACAAAGGTTTATCCTCTTCCAACTGCCTGCAACTCATGTTGCAAGCTGTACTTGCTGGGTTTGTCACGAAAATACAAAGCTTCCTCTGCCATCTCCTGATGTGTTTTTAAAAGGTCGCAAGGCCCTCCACACAAGGTTCATGTTGTTATTGTTTGCTTGAGCGTTTCTGATTTGTTGGGGGAAGAAAAGACCCCTGGTGTACGAAGCTGGGCTTAACTCCCCAGAGCCCAACTCTCCCAAGGTAACTCACGGCTTCAGGGTACTTTACCTTCGTGTGGGACTGGGTCTTGATGGAGCCGTATTCATATTTCTTCTTTCCGCTGCCTTATTAATATCTGAAAAGAATAATCAACCCATCTGTTCAATGCTACGGAATAAAAACAAGATCATCAGCACATTTCAAATGAAAGCAACAACAAAAAAATCACAATGACAACCAGATGGTGTAAGAAAATCCATTCCGCAGACACACTGTCACTTGGGAAATTATTAAGTTAAGGCACTAACACTGTCATGGCTTGGTAAGGAATGTCCCTCAGTTTTCTACCTAACACTTAATTTGTTTAAAACTAATTATTTCAAAGACTTGGTACTCTCTCACCCCCTAAGCATAAGATTACCTCCTTCCAAAGACAGTGAAAGCTGTTTTTTAAATTCATGGAGAGTCAGCTACAAGATGATTTTTCGGGGGAGAGCAGGGAAAGATAAAAGAGCTTAGAAAAGAGAGTGTACAAGAGGGAGCAAAGACAATTGATTCTACTTTTATGTTACAAAGTATAGTAAACTGGAGCTAGTTGTCTTAAACTTCCAGTAGTATATGAAGCAAAACCTCTTATAGTGCGTCTTATGTTGTATTCATCCACTGAACAGAAGCTTTCAGAATAGGACAGAATTATTTTTAAAACAAAGAATATGACCCTTAACACCTAACATTTTCATAGACAGGTGACAAAGAGTCAGAATTGCATTCAGCTTATTCACTATGCCACCAGAGTCCCTTGTTGGGATACTGTTATGTACCCTCCTTTGGGTAAAGTCAGTTTATCACATGGGGGGGAAGACTGTCCATCTTTAGCTGGAGAAGCAACTGGTATGTACTCAAGTCACCTTGAGTTGGAAGCCCAATTCCTCACCACTAAGGCCCCAGAGCTCCCTTTTGGTATTATAAAGGTTAGATAGAACATTACTCCTAACAAGTCACCCTTCAGAGAAGCTTAGCATATACATCTAGATGAGAGAGGATAGTAGAATCACAAGTGTTAGTCAACTGAAGTAAATAAAAAATACCACGTTACGAATATCTATAGAGTACCAATGTATGTCTAAACATAACACCTGCCTATTTTGTATGTGATGTGAATATAAGTTTGAGTTAAATGAAGAAATTAAATGGCTTACTAAGAGTTTTGTTCTATATTAAGCATTAAAAATGTATGCAGTGATATCATGACATTAAGCACCATAATTAGAGTGCCTTAAAATATGTCTTTTTAAAAAAATTCCCAATCAGATTTTTTTTAATTTATTTTTTTAAATTTTTTATTATTTTGTGTGAGTGTACCGTCAAATCAGATCTGACAGGTACAGGAGGATATTGCGCCTCCTTCTACGGCAGAGCATCTGGTAGATTCGAACCATGTTCCTCTGGGATTGCAGTGTAGCTTCTTGCCACTAGGCCACCAGAGCTCCCCTCCCAATCAGATTTCTACCACATAAAAGACCACAAGAGTAACAGGGAACTCAGAGGTCTGGTACAGACTTTACCTTGTTGTCAACTTTTGAGTTCGTGTTCAAGCGAGAGTAATAATCTTCAATTCTACTTACAATCAGAAGTCTATTATAGCTAGGGGAATGACTCTGACAATATGGAAGATAATTTAAATTTAAAATAAGTATATTTATTTGTTTATAAGGAGAAAGGGAATAAAACATTTTATAATTATATATTCATTTTCTTTGTAGCTGTTGTTCACCTTGCTTGTATCTTAATTTTTTTTAGAAACTGCATTGAAACATGATTGAAAGAGACAGAAAACCATTTTGGCTCTTAAAAAGGTATTTCTAGTTTCATTTAAATGAAGAGTAAAGGATAGATCTATTTGAAGCATAGCTGGATTAGTCTGGCCTGAATCTGAACTTCTTTTTATCTGTCAGGATTGTATAGTCAGTTTTCCTAATGCCAGGGAAAAGTACTAGACATTTCAAATTCTCCTCTATTGCAAAGAGAACAGCTCCTAATTTCATCCAGGGAATAATTTTTTTTTAAATATCTACAATATTGGAAAAATAGTAAGAGATTCCCCAACATTTCAAACAAAATTCTTAGAACATGGGGATTTCCATGTCATGAAGTCATAATATGATAAAAATGTTGGATTGGAAGCTTTTCAGGTAATAAATGTGAACTGAAAATGGGGGGAAAAGAAATATATTCTACATCAATTGACTGTTACCTTTTTCATTTAGCAGACTTGCTTTACCACTGAGTTGATTTCAATTCAAAGCAACCTTGCAGGACAAAGCAAAACTGCCTCATCAGAGTTCACTGGCTATTATCTCTCTTTTTTAAAAGCCAGAGTTTGTATTTCTGTATAGGACCCAGCTAGTGATATCTGACCATGGCTTTGGTACTACACAGGTAGCTTGAGTGGCTTGAATCCACCAGAGGCCCCTTAGGAGCAAGTGGCTCCTATTCCCCTATTGCAATTTACAGCCATGGAAACCTACAGAGGAGGGTCACTATGAGCTGGAACCAACTCAAAGGCAAATTCCAAGTTCTGTGAGTTGGTACAGCATGTGGCATTTGACAACTTAGAACTCCTGAAGGAAGGGCATTAATTCGGAATTACATATTACGTAACGGCAGATCTTAATGGAAAAATCTAGTTCTCTTATATGCAATTATGAAGAATACCAGTTCAGGTTAGAAGGACCTAATGATCTACTCACTTAATTTGTGCCACTTTCTAAAATATGGTAGATAAAATGCAGAGAAGTTTAAAAATGTCTTTGATAATTTAAATTTTCAAAGTATCTTTCACTTATGTAAGGTGGGAAAGAGGAAATTAAAACCGTTTTAAAGTAAGTACCATGTTGATTAGCAGAATTTCTTTTATCACTTCGTGGTCTTGTGAGTAAAGAAAATTAATTTAAAATAAGAATTGATCCAAAAAACCATTTTGATTAAAACAGACATTCAAGGGGGGAAAAAAAAGAATGAACTTGGGGGGGAGGGTAGAGAAAAACAGTGCAACAATGAATGAATGAAAACCCAAAATCTCTGTAAATGTTCATTAAAACTAATAAAATTTAATCCCTGTGACCAATTCAAAAGAGCCAATGTGCAGAAACCTCCATACTTTACTCTGCTAGTAAAGCTCCTGTAACATAAGCTTATGACCTGCTTCATTTACATTTCCATCACCCACTAACCTGGACCAAACAAATTTATCAGTTCCCCCCCACTAACACCTGTTGTCTTTTCCCTGTTGTTATTATGTACTGCTGAGTGGGAACCACCTCACCCTCTAGCAGGTTTTCAGGGGTTGAAAATGGCACAAGATGGAGAATGCCCATCTTCTGACCATCCACAGCAAATGAATTAGAACCTAGTGCCTTTGGGCTGGCAGAGCAACTTACCAACAAATGATTAGGACTAGTACTAATAAGAGCAGTGTCAACTGCAACACTTCGTGACAATAATATAAATCTCACTTCAAAGATATGAAGCCATTTTTGATGTTATAGTGTCTCATTAAAGATACTGGGATGACTGTACTGTAATGAGTTAAAGAAAGTATTTTACTTGCTGTTCTCAATCAACATTTTATTCACTCTGGATAGTATGTATTTCCTCTTATTTGATTACTTCAACGTTCTAGATGTAAAAGAATATTTTATTAGACAGCACTAGAATTTTATTAGAAAATGAAACGGTATTAGAATTTTATTTCAGTGAAAAGAGGAAATAATGAAAACATATTTAGACTTCCAGGGTCATTAGGAGTTGGAATCCATTTCACGTGGTGGGTACATTTACATTACAGAATGCTTACTCTCTCCCAGGGATTATACTAGTAATACGCATGTTATCTTAGTCAATCCTTTCTACAACCCCTGCCGTATTATTATCTGTGTTTTCAAATGACAAAGCTTGAAGTTTAAAGAAATTATTTGTCCAAAACCACAAGATTATTAGCAGGCTAAGTGAGGACTCAAATCCAGGTTTGACATCAAAGTGCTTATTATGGTATGGTGTTTCTAAATGGAAAGGCATGGCTTCCACTTAAAATATTCTTGCTAGCACTATGATCAAACGTGAAACAAATCTGAGAAGGCTCAATCTAGGTTAGATACTAATTACTAGGCAGAAAATAAAAAACTACAGACTTCAATATGGATCATATCTCAACACCAGGAGAACAAAAGTCAATCCTCACTAAGTCAATGTCACTGAGACACCAGTCCATGACAGATGGAGAAGATTCAAATTGTCAAAGAGTTCATCTCATCTCACTTATGTTCACAATAAACACTCTTCGTACCGAGAGTCAAGAAATCAAAAGCCATGTTGCATCAGGAAAATTTGCTGTCAAGGGCATATCCAAGGTGTTGAAGAGCAGTGATCTCAGTTTAAAGACTAATGTGCACATGATTGAAGCCATGCGTGATCTTTTCAATTGCTTCCTATGCAACTGAAAGTTGGACAATGACTAAGAATGACAGAAAAAAGAATAGATGCCTTTGAATTGTGGTGTTGGAGAAGAGTACTGAATATTCCATAGACTGCCAAAAGTATGTCTTGGAGAAAGTGCAACCAAGATGCTCAGTAGAGGCAAGGATGGTGAAGCTTCACCTATGTGTGTGTGTGGTGGGGGGGGGGGGGGGCGCCGCACGCGCGGGGCTGGTCTTTGGAAAAAGGCATCATGTATGGAAAGGGGGGAGGGTCAGGGAAAATGAAGGAGACACTCAAGAGACTGACACAGTGACTAACAATAAACTCAGACACATCAGATGGGGAAGATGACGCAGGACAGAGGAGAGTTCAGATCCACTGTTACGAGGGTCATAGGGCATATAACAATGTGTGAGAGTGCCCTACAGAGAGACCCAACAGTAGAACGGACTTATCACTCCAATTTCTATCTCTTCAAAGTATGTTTGTGGTTTTGGCTACTGACACTCTATTCACATCAATATTCAGACAAAAACACTCATCAATATGAATATTTCCTTTTTTACTTCCTTTGAGGAAAGAGAACTTGTCTATCAACAAATCTGCTTCTAACCTACTTTTTAGTCAGGTCACCTTAATAAAATGGGTATTGTTTTGTTGTTGTTCAGGATCACTGAGTCATAGTGAACCTTGTTCTATCCTGCACCATCCTCCATGCTCAAGTCCACTGTTGCAGTCACTGTGTCCATTCACCCCCTCCTCACAATTTCCCTCCTTGAATTAACACAGCTAACACAGCAATTACTACCTGTGTTAGCTGTGTTAATTCAAGGAAAAACAGGTTAAGGGGGGAAAATCTATTAATTTCAATTCAGGGATCTCTGATGGCATAGTCCATAGGAGTTGTGCTCCTACTCCAAAGGTAAAACCTCTCTGGTGGTTCAAAACCACTAGCATCTTTGAGACAGAAAGCTGGGAATTCTTCTCTCCTTTGATTTATAGCCTTTAAAAACCTGTTGGAGTTAGTCTCAATCTCTATCAATTCAGAGAAGTTAAGCTGATTTAAATGGAGGGAACCCTTGACTCAAATTTTTTTTTAATTTAAAACAAAATTTCAACTAAAACTTACAAATAGATCCTGAGAGAACTAATTTAAT